TTTCCGGCCTCAATTCTTTGATGACTGCAACCGTTTTTCCGGAATCGACCGTTGAAATATCGAAATTTATAGAAATTGTCAAAAATTCGCATTTCGTACCGATTCTTTCGAAAATGTTCGTCCGTGACCATCAACATGCTACATTTTTGGAATCAGCATGTCGAGATCTACGTCTCTGAATTTTTTCGCAATTTTTAGACGACTTTTTTGAACAGTGAAATTTTTCCAATTTCGGCCAATTTTTGACATTTTCGAAACTTAACTAAACACATTTTCTTGTAGATTTCGAGCTCTAGAACTCATTTCCGGCCTCGATTCTTTGATGACTCTAACCGTTTTTCCGGAATCGACCGTTGAAATATCGAAATTTATAGAAATTGTCAAAAATCCGCATTTCGTACCGATTCTTTCGAAAATGTTCGTCCGTGACCATCAACATGTTATATTTTTGGAACCAGCATGTCGAAATCTACGTCCCTGAATTTTTTCGCAATTTTTAGACGACTTTTTTGAACAGTGAAATTTTTCCAATGGTCGCCCCTTCTTCAAATTTCGGCCAATTTTTGAGATTTTCGAAACTTAACTAAACACATTTTCTTGTAGATTTCGAGCTCTAGAACTCATTTCCGGCCTCGATTCTTTGATGACTGTAACCGTTTTTCCGGAATCGAAAGTTAAAATATCGAAATTTATAGAAATTGTCAAAAATCCGCATTTCGTACCGATTCTTTCGAAAATGTTCGTCCGTGACCATCAACATGTTATATTTTTGGAATCAGCATGTCGAAATCTACGTCCCTGAATTTTTTCGCAATTTTTTGACGACTTTTTTGAACAGTGAAATTTTTCCAATGGTCCCCCCTTCTTCAAATTTCGGCCAATTTTTGACATTTTCGAAACTTAACTAAACACATTTTCTTGTAGATTTCGAGTTCTAGAACTCATTTCCGGCCTCGATTCTTTGATGACCCCAACCGTTTTTCCGGAATCGACCGTTGAAATATCGAAATTTTTAGAAATTGTCAAAAATCCGCATTTCGTACCGATTCTTTCGAAAATGTTCGTCCGTGACCATCAATATGTTATATTTTTGGAATCAGCATGTCGAAATCTACGTCCCTGAATTTTTTCGCAATTTTTAGACGACTTTTTTGAACAGTGAAATTTTTCCAATGGTCCCCCCTTCTTCAAATTTCGGCCAATTTTTGACATTTTCGAAACTTAACTAAACACATTTTCTTGTAGATTTCGAGCTCTAGAACTCATTTCCGGCCTCGATTCTTTGATGACCCCAACCGTTTTTCCGGAATCGACCGTTGAAATATCGAAATTTTTAGAAATTGTCAAAAATCCGCATTTCGTACCGATTCCTTTGAAAATGTTCGTCCGTGACCATCAACATGTTATATATTTGGAATCAGCATGTCGAAATCTACGTCCCTGAATTTTTTCGCAATTTTTAGACGACTTTTTTGAACAGTGAAATTTTTCCAATGGTCCCACCTTCTTCAAATTTCGGCCAATTTTTGACATTTTCGAAACTTAACTAAACACATTTTTTTGTAGATTTCGAGCTCTAGAACTCATTTCCGGCCTCGATTCTTTGATGACTGTAACCGTTTTTCCGGAATCGAAAGTTAAAATATCGAAATTTTTAGAAATTGTCAAAAATCCGCATTTTGTAACGATTCATTCGAAAATGTTCATCCGTGACCATCAACATGCTACATTTTTGGAATCAGCATGTCGAGATCGACGTCCCTGAATTTTTTCGCAATTTTTTGACGACTTTTTTGAACAGTGAAATTTTTCCAATGGTACCCACTTCTTCAAATTTCGGCCAATTTTTGTCATTTTCGAAACTTAACTAAACACATTTTCTTGTAGATTTCGAGCTCTAGAACTCATTTCCGGCCTCGATTCTTTGATGACTGCAACCGTTTTTCCGGAATCGACCGTTGAAATATCGAAATTTATAGAAATTGTCAAAAATCCGCATTTCGTACCGATTCTTTCGAAAATGTTCGTCCGTGACCATCAACATGTTATATTTTTGGAATCAGCATGTCGAGATCTACGTCCCTGAATTTTTTCGCAATTTTTTGACGACTTTTTTGAACAGTGAAATTTTTCCAATGGTCCCACCTTCTTCAAATTTCGGCCAATTTTTGACATTTTCGAAACTTAACTAAACACATTTTTTTGTAGATTTCGAGCTCTAGAACTCATTTCCGGCCTCGATTCTTTGATGACTGCAACCGTTTTTCCGGAATCGACAGTTAAAATATCGAAATTTATAGAAATTGTCAAAAATCCGCATTTCGTACCGATTCTTTCGAAAATGTTCGTCCGTGACCATCAACATGTTATATTTTTGGAATCAGCATGTCGAGATCTACGTCCCTGAATTTTTTCGCAATTTTTTGACGACTTTTTTGAACAGTGAAATTTTTCCAATGGTCCCCCCTTCTTCAAATTTCGGCCAATTTTTGACATTTTCGAAACTTAACTAAACACATTTTCTTGTAGATTTCGAGCTCTAGAACTCATTTCCGGCCTCGATTCTTTGATCACTGCAACCGTTTTTCCGGAATCGACCGTTGAAATATCAAAATTTTTAGAAATTGTCAAAAATCCGCATTTCGTACCGATTCCTTCGAAAATGTTCGTCCGTGACCATCAACATGTTATATTTTTGGAATCAGCATGTCGAAATCTACGTCCCTGAATTTTTTCGCAATTTTTAGACGACTTTTTTGAACAGTGAAATTTTTCCAATGGTCCCACCTTCTTCAAATTTCGGCCAATTTTTGACATTTTCGAAACTTAACTAAACACATTTTTTTGTAGATTTCGAGCTCTAGAACTCATTTCCGGCCTCGATTCTTTGATGACTGCAACCGTTTTTCCGGAATCGACCGTTGAAATATCGAAATTTATAGAAATTGTCAAAAACTCGCATTTCGTACCGATTCTTTCGAAAATGTTCGTCCGTGACCATCAACATGCTACATTTTTGGAATCAGCATGTCGGGATCTACGTCTCTGAATTTTTTCGCAATTTTTAGACGATTTTTTTGAACAGTGAAATTTTTCCAATGGTCCCCCCTTCTTCAAATTTCGGCCAATTTTTGACATTTTCGAAACTTAACTAAACACATTTTCTTGTAGATTTCGAGCTCTAGAACTCATTTCCGGCCTCGATTCTTTGATCACTGCAACCGTTTTTCCGGAATCGACCGTTGAAATATCGAAATTTATAGAAATTGTCAAAAATCCGCATTTCGTACCGATTCTTTCGAAAATGTTCGTCCGTGACCATCAACATGTTATATTTTTGGAATCAGCATGTCGAGATCTACGTCCCTGAATTTTTTCGCAATTTTTTGACGACTTTTTTGAACAGTGAAATTTTTCCAATGGTCCCACCTTCTTCAAATTTCGGCCAATTTTTGACATTTTCGAAACTTAACTAAACACATTTTTTTGTAGATTTCGAGCTCTAGAACTCATTTCCGGCCTCGATTATTTGATGACTGCAACCGTTTTTCCGGAATCGACAGTTAAAATATCGAAATTTATAGAAATTGTCAAAAATCCGCATTTCGTACCGATTCTTTTGAAAATGTTCGTCCGTGACCATCAACATGTTATATTTTTGGAATCAGCATGTCGAGATCTACGTCCCTGAATTTTTTCGCAATTTTTTGACGACTTTTTTGAACAGTGAAATTTTTCCAATGGTCCCCCCTTCTTCAAATTTCGGCCAATTTTTGACATTTTCGAAACTTAACTAAACACATTTTCTTGTAGATTTCGAGCTCTAGAACTCATTTCCGGCCTCGATTCTTTGATCACTGCAACCGTTTTTCCGGAATCGACCGTTGAAATATCGAAATTTTCAGAAATTGTCAAAAATCCGCATTTCGTACCGATTCTTTCGAAAATGTTCGTCCGTGACCATCAACATGCTACATTTTTGGAATCAGCATGTCGAGATCTACGTCTCTGAATTTTTTCGCAATTTTTAGACGACTTTTTTGAACAGTGAAATTTTTCCAATGGTCCCCCCTTCTTCAAATTTCGGTCAATTTTTGACATTTTCGAAACTTAACTAAACACATTTTCTTGTGTATTTCGAGCTCTACAATTCATTTCCGGCCTCGATTCTTTGATGACTGCAACTGTTTTTCCGGAATCGACCGTTGAAATATCAAAATTTTTAGAAATTGTCAAAAATCCGCATTTCGTAACGATTCTTTCGAAAATGTTCGTCCGTGACCATCAACATGCTATATTTTTGGAATCAGCATGTCGAGATCTACGTCTCTGAATTTTTTCGCAATTTTTAGACGACTTTTTTGAACAGTGAAATTTTTCCAATGGTCCCCCCTTCTTCAAATTTCGGCCAATTTTTGACATTTTCGAAACTTAACTAAACACAATTTCTTGAAGATTTCGAGCTCTAGAACTCATTTCCGGCCTCGATTCTTTGATCACTGCAACCGTTTTTCCGGACTCGACCGTTGAAATATTGAAATTTTTAGAAATCTTCAAAAATCCGCATTTCGTACCGATTCTTTCGAAAATGTTCGTCCGTGACCATCAACATGCTATATTTTTGGAATCAGCATGTCGAGTTCTACGTCCCTGAATTTTTTCACAATTTTTAGATGAATTTTTTAAAAGTTGTCTCAACCGGGCTTAATAAGTATTAATTCCAGAAAAAATATTTATCTTCGGGAAAAGAACACAGATACAACAACGAAAGAATCTCACGTAGATATTTGTTCGATTTGAATGAGTTTATCGCATCAAAACAGATGACTAAAACTATTATAAGCCTGAATTGAATAAAATACGCAAAATGCATCTTGCCAGAGGAACATTTTGGTGTGCGCTCCCCTACCACAAGTTCCGCTACCACAGCCGTGTTTGGTCGATAAAATTTTCTCACTCGCCTCGTCCATTCCCATTATTTTTATTTATTTCCTCCCAAAATGAAATCAGAACAAGAGCAATCCAACCCAACACCAGCCAATATCAACAAACAAATGCTGGAAATAAAAAAAAAGATCCAACTTTCCGGTAAGTGTAACACATTCCACCAGTCCCACAGCTAAAATAGGAAATTATATTCTAACGGATAAAGTCATTACCGACTGCGCTAAGACTGCAATTTGCAAAATTGATACATAATTCCGTGTGCCACAATAATTCACCAACAAACTCACACCAAAAAAGAATAGATAAAAGTCAAGGAATTAACAGTTCACAAAGTTAGAATGTTTACAAGAGCTAATTCATTCGGGCCAGCATTTCTCACAGGAAAAGGCGTGAATACACTTTTTACACGCGTCGAGAGCTGTCCAAATATTATGCAAGCCAGTGGCGGAGCAAAGTGGGGCGTGATTAACGGGGGTTTTGAAAAAAGCGTGGTTTGTAGAGGGACAAAGAAAAGCGGCGTTCGAGGACTGCGAAGTCGAGAGAAAAACGAATTGTGAGGAAATCCACAAGCTGAAGAAGGAGATCACGGAGTTGGTGAAGGAGTTGAAGGATAAAACGCAGGCTACGGCGGGGGTTAAAGTGTTGAGTAAGCGATTGGAGCGGCTGGTGGGGCCCTGCGAGGACAAGGATGTAGGAGAAATTAAAGAGTTGTTGGATTTGCAAATTATTGACAAATCGAAGGCGCTGAATCTGGTAACTTATAAAACCAAGAAGGTAAATAAAACCAACTAGTAATTACTGAGCAATTTACGTTAAGATAATTACATTTCGTTCGACAGTTCTCTGCTTTTTGTATTATTTTTGAAAGAGGCGGGGAACTTCCTAGTAAACAACTTTGTAAATTTTTTAAGAAGTACATCTTCTCAAATGTCGATTGTTCTTGAAATTTCGCTACTTTCACATCTTGACGTTAATTATAGGTGTTGGGGAATTTGTAATTGTTCTTTTTGAAAATGGTCGTGGAATTTTTTATGCCTTGAGACTCGTACATTTCGTTTATTTGTTTACCTAACGTGTGTGATGGACTTACCTACCTTTTCCTAATTTTCAGTGTGATATAACCACTCCTAATGCAACATCTGAAGTGTCCATTTTCAGAATAAACTTGCAAACCCAACCATTTTTTCACACAAACAAAAACTTAATAATTAATTCAAAAACAGGACTAATAAAAATCACCAAAAATGTTCAGAGTCGTAATATTTTGCATATTTTTAGACAGGATTTATTCGGCAAAATATTGAGATGACGTCATTTTTCGTATTCTAGGGGTCCTGATGGAACGTCATAGGTTACGCTCAGGAAATAAAAAACAATTCTAACCCAACTATATTTAAAAAAATTAGGTTATACCATGACAATATATCAATTTCAAACCTGAATTAATTTACTCATTTTATCCTCCCGCCGCTAATCGCCAATTAGCTCGGTCGCATAACGACAAACGCCGAAAAATGAACACCACATTCTTGAACATCCAGTTGAACGCCCTCATTATACCACATTTTCGTTTTATCCTTTCCAGCGCCAGAAGTTCCTATCCGAACTGGGAAAAGACTACCAAACCCTCGTTTCCCAAAAAGCGCAAAAAGAGGTGGTGGAAAAAGTCGACAAACCCACAAGAAAAGTCCTACACTTTATTTAAACCGACCAATTTTATAATCGAGCTCAATTTCAGGCAACCTGTGATTTACAGAACAGCATTCACGCTGTCGAAATTCAATTGCGTGAGGCAAATCACATTTCAGTCCGTTATCGTGATATAAAAAAGTCGCTGATGAGAGATGCGGCGAGGTTTGAAAGTAACATTAAAAAAATCGAAGAACAACTGGAGGAGCAGAAGAGCGACATTAATGCGCTGCAGCAGGTGAGTCAAAAAATACGAAAAAAAAAAAAAGATAATTTGCCAGGAAATATCGACTCATCGCGGTCTTTACATCCAGGTGATGAACGAAGCCACCCAGAAACGCGGGACGGCCCGAAACCACCTCCTTCGTGAGGAAAAGCTCGCCACAGCCAAAGCCAACTCCCGAGATCGTCAAACCTCTGAGGGGCGCCGGTTGGTGACCAAACGGCGCCAAGAACTAGAACTTCTGGAAAAACGTATTTTCCAAGTCACCAAATCGAACCCGCGCCCGTCCACTGGGACCGCCGAAGACGTACAAACTGCTACTGATGATGAAATACCCGAAACGCCGTCTCCTCCTGAAAATGTGCTTTCTAGAGCTTTCGAGGTGCTGAAGCAGGCTACTGGAGCCAGTAGTACGGAACAGGTTTTGCAGAAGTTTAGTGCTCAGAGGGATACGTTGGAGAGGTTGATTATGCTGAGGGAGAAGGCGGAGGAGGAGAAGATGACGCTGGAGAAGGAGTTGGAGGATTTGACGTCGGAGTTGGAGTTTTATAAATATGCGGAGGTGAAAGATAGCGAAAGGTAGGTACCGAATTTATATATTCCCTCATACCTGATGCTTGTCAGGTCAGGTCAGGTTTCTTCGCTGAAAAAAGACGCTTAAAATGCGAGCGCAGTGTGCACGTTCAGGTGTAATATAAAAAAAATTGGTCTAAAGAGTTTAGACAGTACTTCCCTCGCTGTCGGAAACTTGACGACTGCATGCCTATTGTGTTTTTTTCTCATTACATTTTTGTAGTGGGAATTTAAAAAAAAATTGCGATGACGTCATCAACATTTTTGCAAGGACACGTATATCAGTTGGGATAGATGTAGTGTAATACTAAGAATAAAATTATTATATTCTCAAATTTTCGGGAAAATGAATTGGGTCGTTTTGAATATTGATTTGTAATAATCAATAAAATAACGAAACAATTTACTCACGTATACCTACGTATCAGAGGCAACTGAAAATCGTGTATGTATAAACATTCTTAATTTAAGATGACAGGCGTAACAGTATACGTGAGAGTCAAACAGAGAAACTGTAAACAAAACGACCATGGGTTTTATTGCTTCGACTTCCGCTTATTATATAAAACATTGGGTTTTATTTTAATTCTTGACGGTGAAATTCACAATTGGTTGATTATAAACATGTCTATTTCACATTCGCGGAACCAAGTGAGCGCATAAAACAAATGCAGGTCTGTAATGTTAAAGTCGATGTAAATAAGAGTGCTACCCTTATGTTTCAACCGAGTTTTTCCTTTAACAAATTTTGTGTCTACCAAATTGGGTTGGTTGGGGTGTAATACTAATAATAAGTGTTGCCTTTAATTTAATCAATAAAATAAATTGACTTCATTAATTTTTTTGAACCACCTCTTAAGAAAATCTAAAAAATATGAATGGAATGATAAATCACAAGTACAAACTCATCATATTTTTTGCATTTTAGATAGGATTTATTCAGCAAAATTTAAGGGTGACGTCATCAATTTTTTTAGGAGGGATGAACAAATACATTTTGAACAAAAGTTTACCATGCTTATAATAACTTTAAAATATTCCCAAGATTTCAAAGCATTCGGTTTTGTAATTCCTGATTAAATCGATAAAATAAATTCACGCCTTCATTAATTTTTTTGAGTCACCCTGCATATGCAAATCCAAAAATATGAATGGAATGATAAATCACAAGTACAGACTCATCATATTTTGTACATTTTAGACACGATTTATTCGGCAAACTTTTGAGTTGACGTCATCAGTTTTTTGTAGAAGATAACCAAATATATTTTGACTAAAAATTTATTATGCTCTTTATAACCTTAAAACATCTGCAAGATTTCAAAGCATTCGGTTTTGTAGTTCCTGATTAAATCAATAAAATAAATTTACGCATTCATTAATTTTTTTGAGTCACCCTGTATATGCAAATCGAAAAAATTTGAATGGAATGATACATCACAAGAAGAGACTCACCATATTTTGTACATTTTAGATAGGATTTTTTCAGCAAAATTTTGTGGTGACATCATAAATTTTTTAGGGGGGACGACCAAATACGTTTTGATCAAAAATTTACCATGCTTATGATAATTTTAAAATATCTTCAAGATTTCGAAGCATTCGGTTTTGTAGTTCCTGAGTAAATCAGTAAAATAAATTTACGCTTTCATTTATTTTCTTGAATCACCCTGTATATGCAAATCCAAAAAATATGAATGGAGTGATAGATCACAAGTACAGACTGATCATATTTTGTACATTTTAGATATGATTTATTCGGCAAATTCTCGAGCTGACGTCATAAAGTTTTTGGAGGGGATAAGCAAATATATTTTGACTAAACATTTATTATGCTCTTTATAACCTTAAAACATCTGCAAGATGTCAGAGCATTCCGTTTTGTAGTTCCTGATTAAATCAATAAAATATATTTACGCATTCATTAATTTTTTTGAGTCACTCTGTATATGCAAATCCAAAAAATATGAATGGAGTGATAAATGACAAGTACAGGCTCATCATATTTTGTACATTTTAGATATGATTTATTCGACAAACTTTCGAGCTGACGTCATCAAGTTTTTGGAGGGGATAAGCAAATATATTTTGACTAAACATTTATTATGCTCTTTATGACCTTAAAACATCTGCAAGATTTCAGAGCATTCGGTTTTGTAGTTCCTGATTAAATCAATAAAATATATTTACGCATTCATTAATTTTTTTGAGTCACCCTGTATATGCAAATCCAAAAAATATTAATGGAGTGATAGATCACAAGTACAGACTCATCATATTTTGTACATTTTAGATATGATTTATTCCACAAACTTTTGAGCTGACGTCATCAAGTTTTTGGAGGGGATAAGCAAATATTTTTTGACTAAAGATTTATGATGCTCTTTATAGCCTTAAAACATCTGCAACATTTCAAAGCATTCTGGTTAGCAGATTAAAAATTAAATTTCAAAATGTTGTTTTATAATTTTGATTTTTTTTCCAAAAATCTGGACGTTTCGGGTGAAAAGTCGATTCAGAGTTGTAAACTACATGTGTAGGACTATGTTATTTTATACAATTGAAAACCCATTTACTATGTACAATTTTGAAGTGACGTCATCGCATTAGTGGTGGGGATGATTAGACAAATTTTGGTTAGCGTTTTACCATCTACATGATATTCTTAATATAAGTACAAAATTTCACAACAATCGGTCGAGTACTTTCGGAGATTATCTGTCTAATAAAATCCGGGACAACAGACGGACAGACGGACAGACAGACGGAAATGGGAGACCTATTTCTTCGTCTTCTAGGGGTCATGAAAGATCGAGAAAACGTAAAAGTAGAGAGTCGGCCGACGGACTCGATTACAATACTTCCTTTGCTTACGCTCGGGAAGTAAAAATATTTATTGTGCGTTTTAATGTGTCAAAAAAAAAAAACATAAAATTGAACGATATTTCAGAAAATCGATCAAGATGGAACAAATGCAAACCCTCATCGACGTCGAGCACCAGCGCTCCCAAAACCTCCGATCCCTCAAATCCACCAAAGACAAAGCCATCACAACAATTTTAACAGCTTTACAAGACCTCCACCTCTGCATCAACCCCCTGGCCATGCCCAAGACCGACATCCTCCTCATCGTGAGCTCCATCAACTCTGACTTGCGCACCGTTTTCGAAAAAATCAAGAACGAAAATATCGAAGACGCAGTGGAGGAAAACGTACTCTCGTTTCTGGTTTTTGTAGCTTTAAATTATCTTGTGTTTGCAGATCGTGACCGTGGAGGCGGTGGAGGAGAAGTGGCTGCCGGCGCCGTACAGCGGCCTCGTGCGCCGCACCCCGCTGCCTCAGCCGGGAGCGTCTCCGGCGCCGCCGCCGCCCCCGGGCTCCGACGAAGAGGAGGAGGTGCCGTCGAGGGGCTATCTCAAGCGGCAGGCCCAGCTCGTGGTCGACGCCAAGCTGCGTCGAAAAAACGTGCGTTTGGGACAAAAAAGGAACTAATAAAATGGGAGAGTATAATACAAGTTGCTTTATTAACAATTATCGTTAATATTAATAAAAAATACAAATTTTGACTGAAGACAGTGGCGTTACACGCGCACTTCAACACATCTGCAAATATAGAACGGCCTAGGCCAAATTATTTACACTTTTTTTTACAAATAAAAAGGGTGTTTCCACGCCGGATAAAAACTAGTAAAATAAGTTCAGTCTCATTAACTACATACTTAAGATAAGAGGTGATGAACAAAATATACTTATGTCCCAACTAATATTATTGAAAATATGCTTCGCGATTTGTGTATAGAAATGTCAAGGCCATGTAATTTTCAACTCCAAATACACGCTATGGCGAGTAAATCATCGAACGATTAAAATTAATATTCCCTAATTTTTTCCATTTTTTTATATCACAACTTTAGTTGGATTTACACTAAATCTGCTCTGTATATACATCACATATGAAATTTCTACATCCAATTACACTTTTCATACACCGTGTACGCACAAGTGTTACAACTGTTAAAGAAAAATACATCAAATGAATTACAATCATACATTTAGGACTCATGTTATTTTTCAATAATGGCAGTGACTCATAATATTGTTTGGCAGTAGTTTAAAATTACGGTACGACTATATATACATTTGATTTTCAGCTACGCAAATAAAAGACATACGATTAAACGGCCGCCATTACTCCATCTTTGGCAACATGGAAATTTTGTCCAATTGTAGTGACGAGGAACTCAAAGAGAGACGACAAAGCCCCCATTTTGTGGCATCTGAACCCAACTGGCAATACCGTCCAACCATCGACGCGTTTCACCAGCGTAGCTGCTGAAACCCGTCGACGATTTCCCACCCTCGGCCACAAACCAAACATTCGTCACAATTTTATTTACAAAGCACCAGAATTCCAAACAAATCCCACCAACAAAAACAGCTAACAACTGCTCGTGGCAATCCGACGACGAACTTGCCACAACAAGATCTCTAATTCTCTACATCCTTAACGGCCGACGCCCACACGCTAAACAAAATAAATAAATATTGTTCGATTTGACCATGTGCGCCGAAATGAACATAGATTAATGGTCACATGAACACAATGAAAGTAGTATAGTCTATTACTTGGATCAAGTCATCCCGTTTCCGGGTCCTTCCCATTCTATCAGGAACTCCATCTTTCCCGAAGGTCCGATCCGTTTCGCCCTCACTGTGAATCGCTCTCCGGCGGCGATCCTGTTCGCCGCACCGAAATACATGTTTACTGAAGTCTTGAGGTCGTCCATGTTGATGTCGGGCTCTTGCTTGACGGGACTGGGCTTGGAAGGCGGCGTTGGCGGCGTTTTTTCTTTCTCGGGGGGCTTCTCCGGACGTTGCCGCAACCTTCACGAACAACATTAATTATTATCGCCAGTTCTTATAGGTTAAGCGAAGTGTACACGTACGCGAGTCGTGCAAGCAACGTCGCCAGTCTAGCTTGGAGAAAACTCGTACGTGTATTCGGGGATTTAGAGGGCGGCATTGGCTATACGCAAGATTTTCACGCATTTCAAAAAATAAATCAAGGTCACGCCTATGAACCACTCACTCAGATGAAGCTGGCCAGACACGGTTTTTAAATTTTAATAATCAGAGCAATCCCTATAAGGCTTAATGGACTAATTGTCAATAAAGTTAATTAATTTCTACAGTTTCCGACAAAAAATTTCAAACATCACTTTTCTGTCATGTCAAAAATTTTAATGTAGTCTATGCTTTATTGTCATTATTTTGGACAGCTGAAATGTCAAACTTTCAAAATTCCAGCTTACGCTACAGCTATAGTCTTTGCCATTTCTATTGAAACACCACCTGTTAATCGTAAATTTGGCAACGTTCATATTCAGACAATTTTGGAATTAAAAGCCGTTGTCAATCAACCGAAAGCTGTTACCAATTGCTAAATTTTAACCAAAATCAACAGGTGGTGTTTCAATAGAAATGGCAAAGACAATACATTCATGTAAGTGTCAAATGTAAAAGTTAAAAATGACTATCAAATATTTAGGTTAGAAACATCTAAAGGTTGCTTTACACCATCTGACGACTGAATGACATTGACGTCTGAAATTTTTTGGCGGCAACTGTATGTTCATTATATTTTTTCTCGATATACATTAATTTATAATGTTCTGTGTGGCGTCTATATTAGATTTCCTGGAGAGATTGGACACCTACGATACTTTACTTCTATGTAATGATTACATGGCCATGTTTCTTGGAGGAACTGGACACCTACATTTTAATATTATATTTTACTTCTGCCTCCATATATTGATTTGTGGTTTCCTGAAGGAATTGTACATCTATTCTATTCTTTTATAATATTTTATCCTTGATATATCGAAGGAAAAGATAAAAATTTCCTTGTGAAATTAAAACATTACTGCATCAACTTTCCAAGTGGTACCTGTTTTTGGAGATTTCCTGGAGAAATTCGACACCTACTACATTTTTTTATTCCTATATGATTATGTGCGAACATTTCCTAGAGAAACTGGACACTTACTATACGGGGTGTCTAGAAAATGGCGAATTAACTCTTCAGTACGTTAGTATGGGGGTTCGGGAGTCCCAAAAAAGTAATAAATTTTTTTGATGACGTAGATTGCGAAAAAAAAAAATGTAATTTTATAAAGGTAAAATTGTCTTGTGGATGAAAGTAAAATCGTAATGTTTCCAAATTTTGACCATTTTTATCATCGTCTAAGATAAAATTGATTTGGCAATGACATACCCTCTAAGAAAAGAGAGGGCGGGTGGGTGGGGCTAGTACCTGCTAAGATAAGACTGATTCTGGCAAATGACATACTCCTAAGAAAATAGGGGGCGGGGTGTAGCAGCTACTAGCCCCGCCCACCCACCATCTCTTTTCTTAGAAGGTATATCATTTGCTAAAATCACAGTTTTCTTAGCAGGTACTAGCCCCGCCCACCCGCCCTCTCTTTTCTCAGAGGGTATGTCATTTGCCAAAATCATTCGTATCGTAGCAAGCACTAACCCCGCCCACCCACCCTCTCTTTTCTTAGAGGGTATGTCATTTGCCAAAATCGATCTTATTTTAGCAAGTACTTACCCCACCCACCCTTTATTTTCTTAGAGGGATCTCATTTACCAAAATCAGTCTTATCCTAGCAAGTACTAGCTTAAAACTTTTTCAAATTCATAAGAAATTAAAACACCAGGGATCTAAAATTAATTGCGAACATTTTTTTATGAAAACCAAAATGTGAGAAGGAATTTTTTTACTATTTTTTCCAGACTCACCAGTTGAGTGTTAAGAGCGTAATGGAGAGTTAATCCGACATTTTCCCGGTATTGCATTTCTATGTAGTAACTGTCAAGTTAATCGTGGTGTAGTGTCTGTATTGAAGTTTCTTGGAGGAATTATTCACCTATTGAATTTCACCTCCGTGTGATAACTGTGTACGGGAGTTTCCTGATCGAAATTAACATCTACTGTATTCATAGTATTTTTTCCAATACGCGTGACAGACACACTAGTGTAAATTTTGTAAATCATTGGAGTGTTGAAGTTCTTTTAGCACAGCATGTTACCGTTGGATGAAACTTCTTGGAGGAGTTAAACACCTACTTATTTCACCTTCGCGTCGTAAATGCATGTGGGGACTTCCGTCTTTGTCTAGATTGTGTTAAACTCTACTCCATGGTCTGGGCTAAGAAAAACCCAAAAAGAAATGGAACCAGGAAAAATAAGCACGGAAGTTTTAACCTGGAAGTTACGAAATTAATGTTAAAATTACTAGAAGTTTTTTGGGAAAATATAACGAAGACCGACTAGATAATTCGTACAGGGGAAAAACTTTTTTTTTTATTTCAACAAGAAATGTCGTTCTATACCACGTGACACTTGCGTGTTTTTTACTTGCCACAACAATCACTTGTATGGCAGTAGTTATATAGTGGAGGTTCTGGCTCAATTTTCGCGGGAAAATTTGAAGTACGAATTTAAAATTTTCGCCAAAATGTGACAGAAACCCCACTATACCTATGACTGCTCACGATCTTGCATCGACTGCAATTTTCGCCTCTACGTACTCTCCCCTGGGGATAGCGGTCGCCCAAAAAATTCTCTGGCATTCCTGACATCCCCGTTACAAGTAATAAAATTTAATGGGAATGCAACTACAACGTACAGCCAATTCCATCGACGCAAACGTATATTGTTTTCGAAATTCGAAGAAATACTTTACCTTCTCCCGTTGAGGGCATAGTCCACGCAGCCGTTCAATTGACTGGTCCCCGGTTGCGCCCCTCTCTGCCCCCACTCCTTCGCGTCCGTCCGCACCGGCATCACCGTCGCCGTCTTACTGGCCGTCTGCCCCGCCACGTACATCTGGTGACACCTATTCCTCCTCAGCCTCCTCCTCTTCACCTCCCCGTTTGGTCCAATGAAAATGTCTTTTTCACTCAGCTGACGTTTGGTCGGTCTCATGACAGGTTTGCCCGGTATCACAGCAGTTAAAGGTAATGGTAAAGTGATCTCCTTCCCCTTCTTCTTCGTCCTGTCCTCCCCCGCGCCCCTCAGCAACGTCAAGAACGGATTATTCTTCCCCTCGAAGTCCTTCGGCGGCGGTATGATCAAATCCAGCGTGCTCTTCGACGACGTCTCGTCTCCCGACGTGTCGCAGGGCGTGTTCTCCCCGCCGTTCTCCTTCGCCTTGCCCCCCTTCGCCGTCGAGTGCTCCGAGAAGTCGTCCGACAGCAGCGAATTCGAGCCGGACGCCGGCGGCGTGGGCGGAGCCGAGACCGACGTGGGCGGGGTCAGCGGCAGCGACTCGCTGTTCTTGTAGCTCTTGTTGTCGAGGCTGAGCCGCGTCAAGTACCCGCCCTCCGACTCGTTCCGGCACACGCCGTCGTTCGTGTTTCTCCGCTTCGGACGGCCCGCCCGGTCCCGGTCGCGCCCGCTGGCCGACATCAGCCTCTTCCTCCGCTGGCTGCCGATGTTCGAGAACGGCACCGTCTTCTTGGCGCAGCCGGCGAGGATGGGGGCGGGCTCCTCGCGGTCCACTTCGGGACTGGGGCAGGGCGAGTCGGTCTCGGAGGGGTTGCTGTTCTGTTGGTAGGCGAGGCCCATCATGAGGCCGCGCATGTGGTTGTCGCACGGCACGACCACGCCTTCAGCAGGGGAGAGGAACTGCAAGCGCCGGTTCCCCTGCCACATCTCGCGGAGCTCCTCCTCCGAGACGCGCCCGCTGAACGTTATCGTCACGGTGGGGGCGGGCGGGGGCAGGCGGACTCGGAGGCCCCATATCGTGGTGCGCTTCTTGATCTCGCGGCCGCACTTGAAGCGATTCCGGTTGTTGGTGAGGACCGAGAGGATGTTGTCGCGGCGCTCGGATCTGCTCACCGAAGCGATCTAAAAATACAATTGTGAAATGTACATAGAGCATCAAGACAAGAATAGAAAGAAAACACCCGGAGTAGTGAACTTGATTTAAAAGTCGCTTTTCTGTTGCCGGAAAAACTGTCCGTTAAAATGAAAAGTGCTCTATTGTCTATCTAAATTATTATTAGACGCTAGAAAAAACATTTGAGCATCGAAAACAAAAATAAAACACATCCAGTCACTACTTGATGCGCAATGTTTTTTAAACGGATGTCGTAACTGACATCGTATTCTTCACATCTGTCAGTGTCAAACTCGTTCTGACGCTCTCATCTGTAGACTATCTGTCACAATCAGCGTTGCCACCTATAAAATAATTATTGGTATTACACAATAATTTTAAGGGTTGGTTATTTAGTCCTTCAATTCTTCAAAAAGCATTGTGCACTCGTTTTTGTTTTATTCCTTGTGTAACATTGCTGTTCGTGTGTTGGTAACAAGGTAGCATTGACGCACTGACATTTCATTGAACGATTTGACAAATGACAGAATTTTTACTTGCCTGTTCAAGCCTTCATTTATTTGTTATATGTACTGCGTGATCAGAAATTTACAGGGTCTGTTGGTAGTACTTTTTAAACAAAATTGTGTACTTTTCTCGTGTTTATGTTGGCATAACGGAAGTAACTGTGATATACATTTTGCAAAATTAAAAATGTCGAAATCGAAAGATCATGAAATCGAAACATGAAGAAACTGAAAAATCTAAAATTTATAAGAGGACCGAAAATCGAAATAGCCCAAAATCGATAAATGGAAAAATCGAAACATATAAATCTTGATAAACCGATGGATCGGAAAGTTGAAAAATCGAAAATCGAGATATAGAAAAGTTCAGAAGTCGAAACAAACATATTGAAAAATTTGAAAATCGAGTTCCCAAAACATACAAAACGAAAAATCCCTGTCTGTTAAAAATTATGGACAAATTTTAAACATGAAATGCCAACTGCGTGAACTATTAATTTTTTAAAACTTATAAACAAAGTCACTTATTTTATTGCAAATGAACTACTGCTTTTATTATTGTTATAAACTTATTATAGGTGACAGCACGAGTCTTCGAGGGCGGGAAAATCAAATTTGAATGTTACGAGTTACAATATGTACTATATAATAAATTTGTTTAAATAATCTTAATTATCCATCATAAATCAAAAACTATGTATCTAGAAAACACTAACAATAAAATTTAAGTGGACTTTTTACCTAAAAATAAATAATAATTTGACTGATTTACCACAATAAAGCCAAAATAAATAAAAGATATTAATAGAAATTTTCATTTATTAGTAGTTACATAATTCTTACGTTGAGCAAAACCCGGCGATAAATTAATTATAAAATTAGACCATAATTTCACGATTAATTTAAAATCACGTCCAAGTTAAATCGAACTTGGTATATTTAACTGCGTCTTGCGTAGAAGTGTAAAGAATTTTTGCTAGCAACTCCAGTAGGTACTTATCGTGTTTAAAACTTTTCCTTACCACATCCTAATGTGGTACGATATCAACTTCAAGCATCTATTCACTCATTTATTTTAATGTTAGCTTTTTTTTCTAAAAAAATTTTAATATTTCGTGTCCAACAAATCCAAAAATTTTTTTTACGTCTGCTATAATTAAAAATGGAATTATTCTTCACCTTATAAACATGTTCATACCAATTACATACGCATGAAACAAATAAACATTCCTGTGCATCGACTGGTTTTATCTACCGATGAATCATTCTACGTCATATCGAAAACGATTTCAAGTTTCAATAAATTATTCCACTTGAAATGAAAACAAACATCGCAACACTGCGACTCTCAACTTGCCATTAAATCAAGCTTTTACTCCGTCTTACCTTTGGTGGAAGCTGTAACGCGTGCCAGTTGTCGTTAATGTAAGGAATGATGATCGTATCCAGATCGTAATACTTCTTGCTATTGTACACAGTCAAATTGAACAACATCAAATGGACCAAATCCACCCACTTCATCTCCAATCTTCTCAAAAATTCCTTACCGTGGTTGCAAATTGAACATACGAAAACGTAAAACCTGCGAATCCAAATAATCGTAAAATTAAAAACGCAAAAATTACTAGTTACCTGTCGCCACAATACAAAGGATATTGCAAACAATCTAAACATCTCTCATGAAACCACTGTTTGCACCTACCACATTGCAACATTTGTTTGTACCATTCGCCATTATCCCCGCAGTAACAGTAGGTATGTTCCGTGTTCACTCTGTGATATGTATCCCAAGTAAGCGAGTTTAACTGCAATAATACGGTTTATAACGTTCTTACTTTTTTTTTTTGGTGGATTGACTTACTTCATATGGTAATACTTTTGTTATGGGAGCAGTAAATGAACTATCAGTACTTGATGAAGCTGTGTTTCGAGAAGATTCTCGTTTGAGATGCTTCGAATCACTTTTTTTCAGTCTATGAGGTTCACTGCTCAAGCAGCGTCTGCACACCCATGTCGCATCTATTTAACAACAGAAAATTATTCTTAATATACTTTAAAGCTCAAAAGAATAAATATAAAAAATATATATTTAATAATTTTCTGACATGACGTCAACAACTTTTAAGAGGGGATTTCTAGTTAAGAAAATGAGCATTCTTTTAACTATTCCGTGGGAACCTTCTACTGTCGGTGAATAATTGAGACCGGAAATGCATTAATACAAATAAAATTAAAAACGCACAGTTCACGACTGTCGCGTTTTTCACAATGGGGGGAAATTCATATTCATAAAAAATTCAAACCGAAGAACATGCCACGAATCAATAACATCCAACCTCCAAATTAATAACAGTGTACCGATTAGGGTTGCATCCCTCAAAACATCCGCACAACTGCGACCCCGACCCTCCGTTAAAATCCACACTCGAACGAAGATATCCAACTTGTGGACATCCTGTCTACTCAAGCAAATCAGTCAAGCGTCAATTTCCTCTCCCTGTCTCTTTTCCACATGCAAACGCGATACCGTAACGGTTATTTCCGCCCAGAATACACGAATTATAACGCGATAAAATTTCAACTATTTGCTTAATTAGCTTTAATTTACAAATACTGGAAATTGATAAGGACTTAATGCGTTACCCTGCGGCAGCTTCGTTCTAATTGGACGAAATTTCTCGAAACGAAAATTAAGTCTCGTTTTATTTGTGGACGCGTTAAAAACACATTTCGTGATGATAGAATGCAAGTCATTGGAGGAATTCGCGATGAAACTTATCTGCTTTGAGTCACGGTTTGAAATTGTGGCTCTAACAATGGAATTTGATTCAAGGGTTTAAAAAAGCTTTCGGAGATTTGCGAAAATGTGTTGTCTGTGGAAGCACATTTTCATTGCAGGATTAAGCCGCTAAAAGAAATAGTGTGTACCTCGTAATGAACTTATCTCGGCTTCGCCTCGGTAATTAATACCCACATTCGCATTAAAAACTTTACACTTGACTGCCCCGATACACAACATTTTTGTTTGTTTTTATTTCTCCAGCGCAAACTAAGGGAGGAATGGGGAATTTTTTGACGTTTCACAGTTTATAGAAGGCGTAAATGCCAGACTCCCATTTCCGTCAGTCTGTCTGTTGGTGACGTTATTACAAACAACATCTCAATCTTTTTCAAAAATATGACCTTTGGTATTTTTTTTTATTTTTTCCGAATGATACTATATATTTCAGACAATCATAATAGGCCATGAAATTTAGTTTTAAAATAATGATGTTGGTATTGCAGCTTTTTGACACTTTATTTAACAGTTTTCTAACAGGAACTGTCAAACCAAACACGAAACGTGTTAGTATTGCCAATATAATTTTTTAATATTAAATTTCATTGCTTACTAGACGACTTTTTCGCTTATTTTTCACGACAGAAATTACTATTTTTTGAAAAATCGACAAATTGACTCCCGTTTTAAGACCAAGAAAAAACAAAAGCCTAAATTAACAAATCCCAGCCTTGTAAAAATTGTTCTACTGAAAATATTTTCCAAATATGGCGGCCTACACAGAAAAATATCATAAAATATTTACATATATGTACTTCTGGAAAAATTTAAAGCTCTTTAATTGCGGTTTTATGCAAGAGACTTCTGTGGTGTTTTTTCTTGTTGAATAAATTTTCTAGTAACAGATCGGATTAACCAGTGGAAACCAGCTTTTAACCTAACTAAAGAATTCAATTGTCCAGCAAAGACGATTTGGTTGATTTAAAACTTGTGCTTAATTAAATTACAACATGTTTGACATATCTGAAAATAAATATTTTGTGAATAATTTTTGGTTATTCATTTGTCATTTGGCTGCTTCCATTTTCTGGTATTTTTGTATGAGTGTATCTGCTTAGCTCCGCCCACCACTGCAATCTTTAAAAAAAGATGAACCCCAAATAAACCCACCACGAATGAGTTCAGAACTGAATCATTCGGCCGAAAAGAATTTCAACCTATCCCGCATTACCTTCTTTCTGGCACTCAGCTGGAATCTCCGGATGATGACACTTCTGGTGATACCCTCTGCCGCACTTGTCGCACACCGTGATCTCCCTCTTGTTCTTGGGCGCTGACTTCTTGCACACGACACACAGCAGGTCCTCCTGCTGGGGCGTGCTCAGCTTGGTCAGATCCTTGAAGCTTGACCAGCTGTCTGTGTTGTCCCCAAACTTGACCAGACATTGCTCCCTGATGCCGTCCACCTCGACCACCGTCCCCAAGTAGTACCTGCCGTCCTTCTGCTTCAGGAGCACGTCCTGGCCGGGGCAGAACTCCGCCTCCCTGGTGGTGGAGTCCGGCACGGCGGCCTCCTCGGGCTCGGCGCCCTTTCTGCCCTTCGCCTTCACGGACGTCATCGCCAACGCCAACTCCTGCCGCCAGGTCACGGCTTACATGGCCCCCGACGCGAGCGCTCCACTCCCCTGGCTCTGGGGGCTGCGATCACTGCAACAGACGGGGGCGCATGAGGGGCGGCTGGCGCGCGCGGACGGGTTACCTGCTGTGGCGTCGCTCTTCAGCAAAGTCCATCGAGAGCGATTACATTTGCGGCCATTAAAACAACTGTTTGTTCAAAGCGCGCCAAACGGAATGTCGAAATTTGGGAGAGGTTTCGCGAGGGGAAATGGGGCGGCCGGCGCGGGTGGGGCAGGGGGTGCACTGTGCGGGGGGCGAATCGGGGGGGTTTATTCAAAATACACAAGAAAATTGCACCACGGGAACGATTGCTTTCAAAATTAACGACATTTTCAACTGCTGACACTTTGTGGAGAGGTAGGGGGCGCCACGGGCACCAACACAAACGCGACAGGGGGGCCAACGTGACGGACGCGGTTTGTTTGTTTTTGCCGCAACGGGGAGGAGGGCGTCGGATTGGGGCGTCTGGGGGCCACGGTGTGGATTGGGCGGCTGCGGACGCACCAAAAGCGAATTTAGCGCCCAAAGTTTACGCAAAATTGGAAAAAATTACACGCCTCGTTGCCAACCTAAAGTACGTAAACACTAAATGTTTGCGCAGCAGTGGCGTAACATTAAAGTGGGGGCAGTAAATATTTAATGAAAAATAAATCTTCCGCGAAAAGAGGTCACTTAAAATCTTTGTCAAAACTTCCGCGTTACAAAGATTTTTTTTAACGCAATTGAAAATACAAATTTAAATTCTAACCTCAATCTCTTTGGCAACAAAACTCAACAACCCTGCAGCGAGTCAAAACCAACTACTAACGAAACGCTTTGTTACGAAAAAGAACTTTATTATAAACACAAAACAAAAATAAATTCTGTAAATTGAACTTATGTGTCAAACTAACATCAAAGTGAAAAATTACAAGTGGCATTACTTCATCTGTGATAATGTCCCTTCCTATATTTACTATGTTCTCTATCAATACTAGACTGGCCCTTTCTTTCTCGATACGGACTCCTTCCTTTGTTTGGACTTCTCTCTCGTTCTCTATATCTATCTCTATCCCTTTCTCGTTCTCTACTTCGTTCCGTGAATTTCTTATCGTATCTAGATCCCTCCTCCCTGTATCTATCTCCTCGCTCTCTTCTATCCCTGTCGTTCCTCCTTTCACGGTCGTTATCCCGCAGGAAATCCCTCCTAAGATCCTCCCTAACGTTGTGGCGCTCTCTCTCTCGTGGCCAGTCCTTTCTCTCTCTTTCCACGTTCCTGGAACGGTCGTTAACCGCCGCTGCTGCTGCCTGCATCGCATGCGGGGGAAATCTTTCCTAAAAATAGCACAACCACACCAATAGAATAAAAATCCCTCAAAATGAACCCAAACCCTAATTCGAAACCCAGTTTCAAAATAATCACTAACCTCCAAGTGTTTCTGTATCTTCTGCTGTATGGGTACCGGTATTCTGGGAAACAGCGTCGAAAACCACTCGAGCTTGACCAACCACTGCCTCAGCATCGTCCCGATGGTCATCACCTGTCCACCACCTGCTTTTACATCAAGTTCCTGCAACACTCCCATTAATTTCATCATCAAGTTGGCAATAAAAACCCCCGAATTCGTTTAAATTACGATAGGTCACTCTACCTGTTCGTACGCACCTCTTCATCTTCTAGGTAAGATTCGTACCATTCCAGCAAGTCTTTGGGCGGAAGTGTATATCTGATGTACATGAATCCTAACGCACGAATGAACGGAGAGTCGCAATGATTGATAAGGCCGTTTACTTGTTTTCTGGTCAATTTTAAAGTGAAAAGTTTGTAGAGGAGGCAATAGGCCGTGGAGACGATGCCCCCGGCGCCGACGCCCCTGACGCCGCCGCACATTCCCGTTTGGCCTGAGGTGCGTCTGGACCCTTTCTCCCACGGTTCCAGGTGGTTGACTTTGTAGTAGATCTCGTCGACGACTTCGTGGTAGGTCTTCAGCTCATAGAGATTGACTGTAAGTTTGTAAATTCAACGTCAAAAGGCACTTTCACCCCACTCGAACTCACCCTTAAAATAATGCGAACTTTGTATATTTGTCAAAATTAAAGGATTCAAATTCATCGTCCTCTCGTTGCCCCACAGAGGTAAAACGTTGCTCTGCTTCGAATTGGGCTTTGAAGAATATTCTGAAACAAACCATAAGCTTTCACTTGTGGAAAAACACCCAAAACATGAATCAAACTACCTTCATCGCTATTCCCACCCTTGTTGTCCATGGTAAACCAAAAATACCGTAAAAACTCGCAAACGAAAGCGCGTAAATGCCAAAATGAGCAATTTTTGCAATTTATTTACACATTACGAGACGTGAGATCGCCATTGCAAATAAAAATTCACCATTTGGGGAGTTCAGGAATACCAACAGTAGCAACTGTCGTCTGAAAGTCGTTTGCTTTTATAGGTTATGTTTACGATTTTGTGTTATTCTAAAAAACATGAGCGAAGAAGTGAACTCTCTCGAAGAACAAGCCAGAGCAAGGCAAGAACGCCTAAAGTCGCTCAAGCGAAAGCGCGAAGAGAAAAATGAAGACAAAAACGAAAAAGACGACCCGAAGCTGACTCTTCCTAGGTAACTTAATGCACAACTTTACCGATTTGTCACTTAATTCAATTTATTAGGCCAAAATTCCGAAGCTATAAACCACAGGATAAAGAACTGGGTGAATTCGTGATGAAAAAGCCTGACGTTGCCGATGCCCAAAACGAAGTGAAAGATTTGTTGAGTTTGGCCAAAAGTGAGATGGTTATCGACCAATTGGACATCTCTGCATTGGCCCCGCGACAACCAGATTGGGATTTAAAGCGTGACGTTGAAAAAAAGTTGGAAAAGCTGGCTAGGAGGACGCAGAAAGCCATGGCAGAACTTATAAGGGAGAAGCTTAAGGAGAAGCAGGATTTGGCGGAGGTGCCGAGTGCTCCAGTTGATGTCTAATACAATCTGTTATAATAGGAATTAGTTGTAAAGATGTATTTATTTCCATATTGTCATTTTATAATTTGTTTTCTAATGAATCAGTTTGAAATTTCGCGCCTAAGTATCTTTGATATAGGCAACACATTATACATCAATTAGAATAATTAGATTGTAAAAAATTAAAATATAAAAAAATATTTTCAACTATACAGTGTGTTTTGTTTTAAGGCGAAACCAAATTTAAAAGCGGAGAGTTAATTCGTCATTTTCCAAACACCTGGTATATTACTAATATAGGGACTTTGCACGCGCATTACCAACGCAAGTCACTACCAACCTAGCGCGCCGAAAACAACCACGCACAGTCGCCGCAACAACCAACAACACTGTTCAGCAGCCATCTTGCGAAGTGTGACGCCTTGGCATTGTTGTCGCGTCTCCTTCACAATTTTAAACTAAAATTAAGTACAAATAGTCACAGTTTATCAAGTTTCGGGCAAATTCCAAGGTAAGAACCCCCCCGTTCCATTTTTGCGCAAAGCACGTTTTTCCGCGCCGCTTCGTCGAGGGCGTACTTTCACCAAACCAGTTATTCTTCATTCCACAGAAAAATGTCGCGTTACCGTGAATGGGATTTATCTTGCAAAGTTTACGTTGGAAATTTGGGCTCATCGGCCAGCAAGCACGAAATCGAGAGTGCTTTCAGTAAGTATGGACCTTTAAGGAACGTGTGGGTGGCCAGGAATCCTCCAGGTTTCGCTTTCGTGGAATTTGAGGACCCGAGGGACGCGGAGGACGCCGTGAGGGGTCTGGACGGAACGTAAGTGGCTTGTGGAGGTGTGATGGGTTTTTGAGGATTGGGTTGCAGGCGGTGCTGTGGGACGCGCGTCCGGGTGGAAATGTCCAACGGGAGGTCCAGGAGAGGAGGCGGAAGGAGGGGACCCATGAGATACTCCAGGTTTGTAAGGGTTTGGTGGTAACGTGATTGGAATTTTTGAGAATGTTCAATTTAAGCACAGTGGATTTGAAGCTAGCGTGTTATTAACTCATAAGGAAGCCACCTGAAATTGCTTGCGAATTTAAAAACGTGTTGAATTATTTATTTTCATTTGAACGGTTTAGTTATTTTGATGCGTTTGTGTCGGTGCCAGGTGAGTCATTTTTTGGCGCTTGTGCGCCTTCAAAATAGTGCACTGTTTATTTGAAAAACGGACGTATTTAAAGCGGAATTTGCTTTTTTTCATTTTAAAATATGCAACCAGTATTACTAGGAGTTTATAGATGGAGACAGTGGTGTTTAAAAAAAAATCGAGCTGGAGTCGGTTGTAAAAAAGGTTGGTTGGTTAACGGGGGCGAATTTCTTTTATGAGTTAATAACGCCGAATCGTTAGGCGGCAGCAGTTAAAGTGCTTTGGCGCACGTTGCAGGGCAGCGCCACTGCTGTTGTTTTCTCCCCCCGACTGAGACCCACCCCCTCCCCGGCCACACATCTCATCTTACATCGACACACCCAACTACTACAGCTACATCCACCATCTGTGGTGACCGCCCTCCTCAATCAACTATAATAACGAGACCGCGCGACTACTACTACTCACCAGCTGCATTTTACAACCTCTATTAAAAATCAACGTGTGGTTGAAAAAATTCCAGCTCAAAGTTTCAAAACAACATGCAACATAGCAAGGCATAGCAAAACCAACTATAATTTCTCCTCTTCCAAAAACGTCTCTTCATTATATTGGTGGGATTATTGAAACATTTTTTCGTTCGAATATATACGGCGTGTCGCAAAATGATTGGCTACCCGAAGATGGTAATGTATCACATTTATTTACACAAGTGCCAGTCAATCATTTTCGAACATCCCAGTATATCAATGTTAGTCATTTTTTTCATTGTCTAACTCTACTATGAGATGTTTGTGCCTGAAAACTTTAAATTACTCCCATCGTAAAATTGTTATAGATAACACTTTGATTTTGTTTTGTTTTTTTCTTTTAAAGCGGTAGTGGGCAAACGGATTTCTGTTTGGTTTCGTTATTTCGCGAAGATTTATAAAAGTTCTTACAAAACTTGTGTATTTGTAGGTCCAGATCACCAAGACGCTCACGTACACCAAGGTCGAGGTCACGCAGCAGGGACAGACGCAGCCGATCAGACTCCAGGGATCGCCGTTAAGTGACTTTTTTCATTGTATTCTGATTATAACAATGTGTAATTTACATGCTTTTTTTTATCAAACATAGCGATTAGGTACATATGACATTATTTCATTTACACGTGAATGTTCAGTTAGGTGTGAACTGATCTTGTACAAACCAGAATTAGCGATTTTTCGTCTACAGTTGGTCACACTGTACGGGGTTTACCCGATTTTGTCATGAATAAACATATTTTAGTGGTACAAATTTTACTCATCTCCTACAATCCACCCAGGTTCGAGGTTTCGGGGATCAGTCCACCACACCATACTTGAAAAATATATTTTATTCAGAATAAAGACAAGAAGAAATTTAAGGGAACCTGAAATGTACATTCAACAACGGATTGTATAAATACGTTAAAAACGCCTTCGTCGTCGAGTAGTCTGTATCGAGACTGTTGCGTAAAAATTTCAAGATCCTCGAATTAAAAAATGTCCTAAAATTAGTATGGAAATCGTTCCCGATCGTACAATCCTCGATAAACTTTGAGATACATTTAAAAACACAAATCACAGTACGTTTTGTTTGTTTGTCCATCATGGGCGATGGTACCTTGATGAGTGAGTTGAGCACGACGGTAGTGATGAGAAGGGCTTGTTCTTCCAGGAAGATGGAGCGGTCGTCGCAACGCACGACGTCATTCAAATTCCACAGCAGCGTATGTAGGACTTTAGCGGCGCTGTGTGTGACTGGAATATTTTCGGCGAAGGTGTTCATCTCGCCGCGTTCGTACACCTGAAAAGAGTGTCATTTCCGGCGAAACTGAAACGAACTACTCACCTCTGACGTGTCTTTAGTCACCTCCGGGAGTCGTCTGAGGGCCCACGACGTCAAACAACAAATAGCAACGTCGTTTTTAAAATCAGAACAACTGGTTAGAAGAAGAGTGTACCTAGCTCTATTCGGAATAACGTACCACAGAGTCCTACAAACACATTTAAGACGCACATGACTAAGTATGACCATTGTTTAAGTATATTATAGTTGGACAACCTATATGGACAATCACTTTCCCATGTAGAAAAGAATGAACATATATTTTACACCTCACTCGCTTCACTATGAAGTGGCGGTACCTTACGAAAGGGAGTAAAAATAGTCTGTAAGCACGTGATGTCGATAAGGTAGTAAACGGACGTATTAGTCAGTACGTTGTACGGGTAGCAGTCACAAAATAAGCAAACGTACGTGTTCAGGACTTTACATATATGTAATATATGTATATGTAGTGCATACCTGTTTCATGTGTGTGGTAGCACGTATATTTGCACAAAAACAAATAAAGGTTAAGGTAACAAAAATTTAATATTATCGCGGTATATGTATGTATTATCCATGAACTGCATGGCTAAGAAATATGCGTCCCTTCGTCCATTTTAAAGGCACGAAATTAAACGACCACTACTTTAATTAATAAGTAACAAGTCATCTAATTTGCCTCCAGAATAACTATGGATTATCATCAAACTATGAACACCAAATTCATTCAATATGAACATCTTCTTACGTATTTTTTTTATTAACAGTAGTCAAATCATTAAATACATATTATTATCTTTGAAACTAAAATGCATTTTACCACAAAATATTTATTACCATTTAAATATATACGATTTAGACATCAAGAAATAAATTTAAAATCGCAAAAATTAAATATAGCAGACTTAAAACAGCCTTAAATGCGTCTTGTATGTACGTGCTTATCAGTATGTAGGCATTTTAACGCACATCAATAATCGTTCTTGATGAGTAATGACTGATGACTACTGTAACACAGTAAATCCTCGAAATCGAAAATTTAAAACATTGAAAAATTCAAATATGGGAAAATTGTAAAATCGAGAAATCGAAACATAAAAAATCAAAAAAATAAAAATTGGAAAATCTAAAATTTAAAAATCGAGAAATTGAACAATCGGTTAATTCAAAAATCGAAACATCGAAAAATTAGAAAATCGAAAAATAAAAAAAAATTGGACAGTCGAAAACTGAAAAATTTCGAAAATTAAAAAATTGAAATATGGAAGAACTGAAAACAAAAAATCGAAAAAAAATAATTATTTAAAGATTGAAAAGTTAAAATTGAGAAATCGAAAAATTGAAAAATCAAAAACCTGAATAATCGAAAAATTGAAGAACTGAAGAACTGAAAAATCGAAACTTTGGGAAATGGGGAAATGGGAGTATAAAAAATAAGATTAATGGAGAAATCCGAAAACTAAAAAATTCGAAAATATAAAATTTAAAAATCGAAAAAGTGAAAAATCAACGAATCGAGAAGTCGAAAATTGAAAAAATTGGAAAATTGAAAAATCGGATAAATCAAAAATCGAAATATCGAAAAATCGAGAATCCGAAAAGCAAAAAATCGAAAATTTAGAAGTCGAAAAATCGAAGAATCGTAAAATTCAAAAATTGAGACATCGAGAAATCGAAAAATCAAAAGACCAAAAAATCTAGGAGTGGAAAAATTGAAAAATTGGGAAACCGAAATAGGCCAAAAATATGGAAAAATTGATAAAGCGAGAGATTGAACAATCGAAACATCCGAATCTCAATAAATTGAGGTCTCAAAAAATTTAAAAATTCGGAAATTTGAAAAATTAAAATATAGAACTGAAAACTCGAGAAACCGAAAAATCCAGAAATTTAACAATTAAAATATGGAAAAGTTGAAAAATTGAAAAATCGAAAGTATAAAAAATGAAAAATTGAAAATCCAAAAATAAAAATCGAAAATCTAGAAGTCGAAAAATCAAAGAATCGAAGTATTGAAAAGTATCAAAACTGAAAGAAAATCCAAAAATTGAGAAATCGAAAAACCAATAAAGCGAAGTCGAAAAATCGAAGAATTGAAGAACTGAAAAATCGAGAGAAGTGGGAAAATCAAAAATAGAAAAATTTAAATACTGAAGAACTGAAAAGTCAAAAAATCGAGAAATCGAAAAATCGAAAATTTAAAACATTGAAAAGTTAAAATATCCTAAAACTGAAATATGGAGAAATCCAAACATCAAAAAATCAAAAAAATTAAAATTCGAAAATCTAAAATTTAAAAATAGAAAAACTGAAAAATCAACGAATCGAGAAGTCGAAAATTTAAAAAATTGGAAAATTGAAAAAGCGGATAAATCAAAAATCGAAACATCGAAAAATCGAGAAACCGAAAAGCAAAAAATCGAAAAACCAACAAATCGAAAAATCAAAAGACCAAAAAATCTAGGAGTGGAAAAATTGAAAAATTGGGAAACTGAAATAGGCCAAAAATATGGAAAAATTGATAAAGCGAGAGATTGAACAATCAAAACATCGAAACATCCGAATCTCAATAAATTGAGATCTCAAAAAATTTAAAAATTCGGAAATTTGAAAAATTAAAATATAGAACTGGAAACTCGAGAAACCGAAAAATCTAGAAATTTAACAATTAAAATAAGGAAAAGTTGAAAAATTGAGAAATTGAATTATAAAACAATCGAAAAATTGAAAAATCGAAAGCATAAAAAATGAAAAATTGAAAATCCAAAAATAAAAAATCGAAAATCTAGAAGTCGAAAAATCAAAGAATCGAAGTATTGAAAAGTATCAAAACTGAGAGAAAATCCAAAAATTGAGAAATCGAAAAACCAATAAAGCGAAGTCGAAAAATCGAAGAATTGAAGAACTGAAAAATCGAGAGAAGTGGCAAAATCAAAAATAGAAAAATTTAAATACTGAAGAACTGAAAAGTCAAAAAATCGAGAAATCGAAAAATCTAAAATTTAAAACATTGAAAAGTTAAAATATCCTAAAACTGAAAAATTGAGAAATCCAAACATCAAAAAATTAAAAAAATAAAAATTCGAAAATCTAAAATTTAAAAATAGAAAAACTGAAAAATCAACGAATCGAGAAGTCGAAAATTTAAAAAATTGAAAAATTGAAAAAGCGGATAAATCAAAAATCGAAACATCGAAAAATCGAGAAACCGAAAAGCAAAAAATCGAAAAACCAACAAATCGAAAAATCGAAACATCGTAAAATTCAAAAATTGAGACATCAAGAAATCGAAAAATCAAACGACCAAAAAATCTAGGAGTGGAAAAATTGAAAAATTGGGAAACCGAAATATGCCAGAAATATGGAAAAATTGATAAAGCGATCAAAACATCGAAACATCCGAATCTCAATAAATTGAGATCTCAAAAAATTTAAAAATTCGGAAATTTGAAAACTTAAAATATAGAACTGGAAACTCGAGAAACCGAAAAATCCAAAAATTTAAAAATTAAAATACGGAAAAGTTGAAAAATTGAGAAATTGAAATATAAAACAATCGAAAAATTGAAAAATCGAAAGTACAAAAAATGAAAAACTGTAAAATCAAAGAATCGAAGTATTGAAAAATATCAAAACTGAAATAAATGTCCAAAAATTGAGAAATCGAAAAACCAATAAAACGAACTCGAAATAAAGAAGAATTGAAGAACTGAAAAATCGAGAGAAGTGGGAAAATCAAAAATAGCTTCTTTGAGAAATCAGAAAACTGAAAATTTAACGTAAAAATTTGAAAAATTGAAAAATTTAAATACTGAAGAACTGAAAAGTCAAAAAATCGAGAAATCGAAAAACCTAAAATTTAAAACATTGAACAATTAAAATATCGCAAAACTGAAGAATCGAGAAATCCAATTCAATTTAAAAAATTAAAAAATTGAAAAATCGGGGCATTGAAAAATTGGAAAATCCAGAAATTGAAAAGCTCAAAAGAAAAAAATCGAAAAATCGAGAAATACAAAGATCGTAACATCGAAAAATTCAAAAACTGAGACATCGAGAAATCGAAAAATCGGAGGATCGAGATATGGAGGACTCGGAAGCCGAAACGGAAAGTTAAAAATTGAAAAATTGAGAAATTGAACAATCAAACCAACGAAACATCTGAATTCGATAAATTGAGAAATTAAAAAATTGAATAATCGAAAAATTTTAATAAAAGAAAAACTGGAAAATCGAAAATTAAAATTAAAAAAATCGAAAAATTGAAATATAGAAGAATTGAAAACTCGAGATATCGAAAAACTTAGAATTTTAAAAAATGAAATATTAAAACATCGAAGAGTTGAAAAATTGAGAAATCGAAGTATAAAACAGTCGCAGAATTGAAAAATCTAAAGTTTACAATAAATACAAATACACCCAATAAAATCGAACAGACAAAATAAAGCTTCAAACATGATTATTTTTATACTAAAATTCTGAAGTTTATAAACTGCACATTTTATTTATTTATTTATTTTATCTTGTTTTCGAAATATAATAAACATTTCAAACAATGTCTGTAACTTATTTTAATGTAAATTATATTCATGTGGTTGACAAAATCAGATGTAATATTAGTCTGATTTTGACCTTATTCTAGATTTTATTACAGCAGAACTGCGTATCCTTTTTAAATTTTAGAAGTTACGGAAACTAGTTCAAGAAACAATTAGTTATCTCGTATTTTTGGAACAAAATCTACCAAAACGTGGATAACAGCAATTGTTTTTCATAGAAACAGTCTTCAAAGGAGCCTTTAACAACTCGATATTACAAACATGCCTCTTAAGTTCTTAATGCGTTTTCTTCTGTCTTGTAATTATTTGTAATGTCAACGCCCAAAGTTTATGTCATTCTGTTATTTACTTTGAATATATATTTTCATTTTGTGTTAATATTTTTGTAACACCACGAATCTAAATTTTACTAAATCTTGTAAAACTAAACAATTATACTAGTTTAAAAACTCTTGGAAAGTTTCTGTCAGTCTTCAGATATAGTCAAATCAAAATAGGCCTCAAATTCATTTAAATTCAATTCTTTCGTATCACGTTGCGACGCGTTGCTTCATATTTTTTATGTCAAGTACATTTTCATATTTTGTACATATATGTTTATACACATTACTGTTTACGGAACAATGTTAGTTATGGATTTATGGATAACTCCTCGTATTAGAGCAGAATGAAGGGTGTTTGTCTTTGCTAATGTTTGATGGCGCCATCTGATGTAGAGTAAAATAAACCTAATACATTGGTTCACTGTGGTGAAAATGCGCGTTGATGAAAAATTTGTCCCACGCCCCCTGGATTCCTTGTCCTAAAGCTCACTATTTAGGCGAAGTAAAATTTGTATTAGGTTGTCCAACTATAATATACTTAAACAATGGTATAACTATAAAAACTTACGGTGTCGTTTGAACTCGGTTTCGTTTCGTCGGAAACACGCTAATCGTTTCCCTAATGAGGACTTCGTCGTCCTCTAACAACACCATAATGATATTCAGCACGTTGTACCTATCATATTCTAAAAACACACCGTAAGTACGAGTACCACCACGAATTATAAAGTACCTGTGAAGATTTTGTTTTTGAATAAAACCTGAGTACCGATAAGGAAGTGCGCAACCGCGAGTCGTCTGAAATCGGCTGCGCTCGGACTCGCCGACTCCATCAGCAACCTGATCAGATCCGAGTACCTCAAGTGCTTCATTTCTTCGTACTCCAACGTCATGATGAAAGTCTTCAGACAACAAATCACTCCCGCCGTGACTTCCTCGTTGTAAACTTTCGTCATCGTGAGGAACCAATCGAGAACGTTCTGTTTCCTCTCCGTGCGCAAACTATCGAAGAAACACGGGTAGAACCTCAACAAAAGGAACACCAAGATAAAGTAGTCGTTCTCCTCTTTCAGTTGCGCTTTCAACTCGGCGTAGAAGAACGATATTAAGTATGGATGAGTGAAACTTAATAGTTCTTTCTTGCTCTTGAAGTCGAACGAATGGACTAGACTTTTGATTTGAGGGGAGATTTCCACGTCCCCGCTCGTGATTAAAGGGTGTTCTTTGTACTCGTCCTCGCTGAACTCTTGGTTGAGGTAGATGAACAAGTAGAGACACTTTTTTTTCATGTCGATGTCTCTGCCGTAGAGCGATCGGAGGATGATCCGAGTGATGATGGCGTACGTCGCCCCTACGTGTTGGAATTTAGTTAAGAGGATGAATAGGATGAGCTGGAAGCGGCTGTAAGCGAACGACGTTCTACAGGTCGATAGCACGTCGTCTTCGGTGCCTTCGTTGCTTTCTAGAGCTAAATACCCGACGACCTGTTTCAATACGTCCAAGTCGGTGTAGTCTCGGTATCTGGAAGACGGCTGCTCATTAGGACTGAGGAAGAAGATTTTAGTTTGTCATACTGCCAAACGCTCTGTGTAAATGTGGTTGTTAGAATAAAGGGAATTTTGAGGCGTTTTGCTTTCACTCTTGTGACAGAGTTGAAGTGCGAAAATGGATTTAAAAAAATAATTTATTGAATGACGGCATCAAAATATACTTATGTTTGAGTATTATCAAGCGTTTATTTTTGCTACTTATAAACTGTTGTTCGCTAAATTAGTGTTCTTTGTTATAATCACACTACTAAATGGGCTTTCTGTGTTTCCCGAGACTTAGTACTTTTATAGCGACGCAAACACAGAAACACTACGTTTTGGATAACAGTGTCACGTGTATTGCGCGTTTATAATTTTCAGTGTTTGAAGAAAATTTTCTTTGTTTTGGTGCCCCTATTTGCAATATTATTTGTACGCCAGATTCTGGTCGATATTTTTGGCGCTTTTCTAAATGGCCACCCAGACTTAAACGACAACATCGTAAATGCAAATAAACCCGACTTTGTACAATTTTGTCAAAATATTTTTAGACTGGGGTCATTCGAAGACATGTAGGTGTGCACGAAACTCATCAAACTCAAACTGAAGACGGTTACATTTTGACTATTTTTCGAATACCAAAAAACAATCCTAAAGGGATAATTTTATTTCAACGTCCCATTCAATATGATGCAAGGGTGTGGATGAGTCAACACAACGAATCGATTGCTTTTTTCTTCTGGAGAGCAGGATACGACGTTTGGCTGGGGAATACCCGAGGTAATTTCTTTTGCAAGGAACACGTAACCCTAAAATCCATCGAACGAGAATTTTGGAATTTGACGTAGGTTTTTTATCGTTTTTATTAAACAAAACCAGGAATCGTTTAGATTTAACGAGATGGGTTACTACGATAATCACGCCATAGTTAATTATACCCGAAAAAGCACAAAGGATTCCAAAATTGTTTATTTGGGGTAATTATCTTGTTACGGGTAAGGATTGGTCAGAATCAAAAAAATGTGTTTTTCCAAAACCAGTAGTCGATTTTTGCAGAAATTTTTCAACTTCCCAGACATATTGTCCACGCTAAGTCGAGATGACGGTTTTTACGAGGTTTCAGAGCTCTGTATGTCCTTTTTCCATGCAGAACATGCGTGACCTGTTTGGTTCAATCGTTTTGTGGAAAAAGTTCCGAAACAGATTTTTACCCGAAACGTCCAAATTTTTGGAAAAAATCGAAATTATAAAACAATATTTTGCAATTTAATTTTGAATCTGCAAAACCGAATTCTTCGAAATCTTGCAAATATTTTAAAGTTATATTAACTTTTAATCAAAATGCATCCGTTTATCAACCCCAAAAAATTGATGGCGTCATCTCAAAATTTCGCCGAATAAATCCTATCTAAAATGTGCAAATTATGATCCGTCTATGCTTGTAATTTATCAATCCATTAATATTTTTTAAATTTGCTTATACAGGGTGACTCAAAAAATTAATGAATCAATCAATTTATTTTATTGAATAAATCAAGAATTGCAAAAATTAATACTTTGAAATCTTGCAGATGTTTTAAAGTTCTTGTAAACATGTAACCAAAATATATCTGTTTATTCCCCCCCAAGAAATTGGTGACGTCATCTCAAAATTTTGCCGAATAAATTCTACCCAAAATGTGCAAAATATGATTTATCATTGTATGCATATTTTTTAGATTTGCCCCGTATTTTCTTAGAGGATGTGTTATTTGCCAAAATTAGTCTTATCTTAGCAAATACTAGCATTTTGGAAAATGACATATCCTTTGAGAAAATAGAGGGCAGGTGAACGGGGCTAGTACTTGCCAAGATAAGACTTATTTTGGCAAATAACATACCCTCTGAGAAAATAAGGGGTGGGTGGGCGGGGCTGGTACTAGCTAAGATAAGAGTTATTTTGGCAAATGATATACTCTCTGGGAAAATAGGGGGCGGATGGGCGGGGCTAGTACTTGCCAAGATAAGATTGATTTTGCCTCTATTAATCTTGTAAAAACTTATTAAATTTAAAGGGTGTTAAATTGCAAAATTTCCATAGTAACGAGTTAAATTTCTAAAACTGATTGGGTGTTTATTTTTTATGCTTCATTCTACTGCAGGAGTGAGGGAAGTTCTGATGAAACAACTTTGGACCATTTTTTTTTAAAGTAAAACCTCGGGGCTGCCAAATGTAGATTTTTAACAATGTGAAACCTTATGGGGGTTCGCAATTGTTTATTTAAAAACGTAGAATTTTCTCCTAGGCCCCAACTGTCTTTTTCTAAAATTGTGAAACCTTGTCGGGTGTCCCAACTGTCTATTTTAAAAATGTAAAACCTTCTCGAGGGCATCAAATGTAGATTTTAACAATGTAAAACCTTCTCGGGGGTCCCAACTGTTTTTTTTTTTAATGTAAAACCTTCTCGGGGACCCCAAATGTCTTTTTTTTTAATGTGAAACCTTATCGGGGGCATCAAATGTAATTTTCAACAATGTAAAACCTTCTCGGGGGTCCCAACTGTTTTTTTTTAATGTAAAACCTTCTCGTAGGCCCCAACCGTTTTTTTTTAATGTGAAACCTTCTCCACGGTACCAACTGTTTTTTTTTAATGTAAAACTTTCTCGGGGGGCGCCAAATGTCATTTTTTTAATGTGAAACCTTCTCGAGGGTATCGAATGTAGATTTTTAACAATGTAAAATCTTCTCGGGGACGCCAAATGTCTTTTTTTTATCTGAAACCTCGGGGATCCTAACTGTCTTTTTAAAAAATGTAAAACCTTCTCGAAGGCCCCAACTGTCTTTTTTTTAATGTAAAACCTTCTTCAAAGTCCCAACTGTCTTTTTGAAAAATGTAAAACCTTCTCGAAGGCCCCAAATATCGTTTTTTTTAATCTGAAACCTTCTCGGGAGTCCCAACTGTCTATTTATAAATGTAGAACCTTCTCGTAGGCCCAAACTGTCTTTTTCCAAAATTGTGAAACCTTCTCGGGTGTCCCAACTGTCTATTTTAAAAATGTAAAACCTTCTCGAGGGCATCAAATGTAGATTTTTAACAATGTAAAACCTTCTCGGGGGTCCCAACTGTTTTTTTTTTATGTAAAACCTTCTCGGGGACCCCAAATGTCTTTTTTTTAATGTGAAACCTTCTCGGGGATCCTAACTGTCTTTTTAAAAAATGTAAAACCTTCTCGAAGGCCCCAACTGTCTTTTTCTTAATGTGAAACCTTCTTCAAAGTCCCAACTGTCTTTTTGAAAAATGTAAAACCTTCTCGAAGGCCCCAAATATCGTTTTTTTTTAATCTGAAACCTTCTCGGGAGTCCCAACTGTCTATGTATAAATGTAGAACCTTCTCGTAGGCCCAAACTGTCTTTTTCTAAAATTGTGAAACCTTCTCGGGTGTCCCAACTGTCTATTTTAAAAATGTAAAACCTTCTCGAGGGCATCAAATGTAGATTTTTAACAATGTAAAACCTTCTCGGGGGTCCCAACTGTTTTTTTCTTTAATGTAAAACCTTCTCGGAGACCCCAAATGTCTTTTTTTTAATGTGAAACCTTCTGGGGGGCATCAAATGTAGATTTTCAACAATGTAAAACCTTCTCGGGGGTCCCAACTGTTTTTTTTTTTTAATGTAAATCCTTCTCGTAGGCCCCAACCGTTTTTTTTTAATGTGAAACCTTCTCCAAGGTACCAACTGTTTTTTTTTTTAATGTGAAACCTTCTCGGGGACCTCAAATGTCTTTTTTTAATGTGAAACCTTCTCGGGGGCATCAAATGTAGATTTTCAACAATGTAAAACCTTCTCGGGGGTCCCAATTGTCTTTTTAAAAAATGTAAAACCTTCTCGTAGGCCCCAACCGTTTTTTTTTTAATGTAAAACCTTCTCGGGGGGCGCCAAATGTCTTTTTTTTTAGTGAAACCTTCTCGAGGGCATCGAATGTAGATTTTTAACAATGTAAAACCTTCTCGGGGACACCATATGTCTTTTTTTTTATCTGAAACCTTCTCGGGGCTCCCAACTGTCTTTTTTTTAATGTGAAACCTTCAAGGTCCCAACTGTCTTTTTGAAAAATGTAAAACCTTCTCGAAGGCCCCAAATATCGTTTTTTTTAATCTGAAACCTTCTCGGGAGTCCCATCTGTCTATTTATAAATGTAGAACTTTCTCGTAGGCCCAAACTGTCTTTTTCTAAAATTGTGAAACCTTCTCGGGTGTCCCAACTGTCTATTTTAAAAATGTAAAACCTTCTCGAGGGCATCAAATGTAGATTTTTAACAATGTAAAACCTTCTTGGGGGTCCCAACTGTTTTTTTCTTTAATGTAAAACCTTCTCGGAGACCCCAAATGTCTTTTTTTTAATGTGAAACCTTCTCGGGGGCATCAAATGTAGATTTTCAACAATGTAAAACCTTCTCGAGGGTCCCAACTGTTTTTTTCTTTAATGTAAAACCTTCTCGGGGACGCCAAATGTCTTTTTTTTATCTGAAACCTTCTCGGGGATCCTAACTGTCTTTTTAAAAAATGTAAAACCTTCTCGAAGGCCCCAACTGTCTTTTTTTTAATGTGAAACCTTCAAGGTCCCAACTGTCTTTTTGAAAAATGTAAAACCTTCTCGAAGGCCCCAAATATCGTTTTTTTTTAATCTGAAACCTTCTCGGGAGTCCCAACTGTCTATTTATAAATGTAGAACCTTCTCGTAGGCCCAAACTGTCTTTTTCTAAAATTGTGAAACCTTCTCGGGTGTCCCAACTGTCTATTTTAAAAATGTAAAACCTTCTCGAGGGCATCAAATGTAGATTTTTAACAATGTAAAACCTTCTCGGGGGTCCCAACTGTTTTTTTTTTTATGTAAAACCTTCTCGGGGACCCCAAATGTCTTTTTTTTAATGTGAAACCTTCTCGGGGGCATCAAATGTAGATTTTCAACAATGTAAAACCTTCTCGGGGGTCCCAACTGTTTTTTTTTTTTAATGTAAATCCTTCTCGTAGGCCCCAACCGTTTTTTTTTAAATGTGAAACCTTCTCCAAGGTACCAACTCTTTTTTTTTTTAATGTAAAACCTTCTCGGGGGGCGCCAAATGTCATTTTTTTAATGTGAAACCTTCTCGAGGGCATCGAATGTAGATTTTTAACAATGTAAAACCTTCTCGGGGACGCCAAATGTCTTTTCTTTTATCTGAAACCTTCTCGAGAATCCCAACTGTCTTTTTAAAAAATGTAAAACCTTCTCAAAGGCCCCAATTGTCTTTTTTTTTAATGTGAAATCTTCTTCAAAGTCCCAACTGTCTTTTTGAAAAATGTAAAACCTTCTCGAAGGCCCCAAATATCGTTTTTTTTTTAATCTGAAACCTTCTCGGGAGTCCCAACTGTCTATTTATAAATGTAGAACCTTCTCGTAGGCCCAAACTGTCTTTTTCTAAAATTGTGAAACCTTCTCGGGTGTCCCAACTGTATATTTTAAAAATGTAAAACCTTCTCGAGGGTATCAAATGTAGATTTTTAACAATGTAAAACCTTCTCGGGGGTCCCAACTGTTTTTTTTTTAATGTGAAACCTTCTCGGGGACCTCAAATGTCTTTTTTTAATGTGAAACCTTCTCGGGGGCATCAAATGTAGATTTTCAACAATGTAAAACCTTCTCGGGGGTCCCAATTGTCTTTTTAAAAAATGTAAAACCTTCTCGTAGGCCCCAACCGTTTTTTTTTTAATGTAAAACCTTCTCGGGGGGCGCCAAATGTCTTTTTTTTTAGTGAAACCTTCTCGAGGGCATCGAATGTAGATTTTTAACAATGTAAAACCTTCTCGAGGACGCCAAATGTCTTCTTTTTATCTGAAACCTTCTCGGGGATCCCAACTGTCTTTTCTTGAAGAATGTAAAACCTTCTCGTAGGCCCCAACTGTCTTTTTTTTAATGCGAAACCTTCTTCAAAGTCCCAACTATCTTTTTGAAAAATGTAAAACCTTCTCGAAGGCCCCAAATATCGTTTTTTTTTAATCTGAAACCTTCTCGGGGGTCCCAACTGTCTATTTATAAATGTAGAACCTTCTCGTAGGCCCCAACTGTCTTTTTTTTTTAATGTGAAACCTTCTCGGGGGCCCCAAATGTAGATTTTTAAGAAAGTGAAACCTTCTCCGGGATCCCAACTGTCCATTTTTAACGAAGGCGAAACCTTCTCGGGGGCCCCAAGTGTCTTTTTTTAAGAATATTAAATCTTCTCGGGGCTCCCAACTGTCTTTTTTTAAGATGAACCTTTTTTTTTTATTTCACCTTCGATATTGTTTTACTCCATAGAGGTTATCACAAAAAAGTAAAATTCCCCAAAATCAAATTTTATAATTTTTCAGAGAAGCAGTATTTGTTGGACTGTACTTGGATTTTTTAATACTTCTTGACATTTTCCAAATTTTACTGTTTTTTAGTAGTTGTACCTTACGTAATGTGAAAATTTCTTGTAATAAAAAACCCCATTTTTGTGTTTTTCATATTGTCGGTTATTAATGTCAAACATGTTTTATTTTACACAGTGTATGTTCAATAATGCATTTGTCATGTTTTCTTATATTCTATATTTTTATATCAACGTAATTTATACTTTACAAAAGCAATACATAAATTACGTTTACTTCGTCTCCACCTTTGTACACAAACCATTCTCGCAAAAATGAACACGAAAATTGTTTTATTTGTTATAGTGCCCGTACTTACAATATTTTTCGCTTCTCGAATCACACGCAACTTTCACCGCCACCCAGACTTAGACGACAACATCGTAAGTGAAAATAAAACCAACTTTGACCACCCCTGTCAAAAAATTTTAGACCGGAATCATCCGAAGACATGTCGGTGTACACGAAACTCATCAAATTCAAACGGAAGACGGTTACATTTTGACTATTTTTCGAATACCAAGAACGACTCCTAAAGGGGTAATTTTATTTCAACATCCCATTCAACATGATGCGAGGGTATGGGTGAGTCAACACAACGAATCGATTGCTTTTTTGTTTTGGAGAGCAGGATACGACGTTTGGCTGGGGAATACCCGAGGTAACTACTTTTGCAAGAAACACGTAACCCTAAAATCCAGCGAACGAGAATTTTGGAATTTTACGTAAGTTTTGTATTGTTTTTATTAAATATAATCACGAATCGTTTAGTTTTCATGAGATGGGTTACTACGATAATCACGCCATCGTTAATTATATCCGAAAAAACACAAACGAGTCCGGAATTGTTTATTTGGGGCATTCACTGGGCACTACTAACGGTTTAATTTACGCTAGCCTCAGACGTGAGGAAAGTATGAGATTTATTAAATACATGGTACTGTTAGCACCAGTTGCTCACATCAGAGTGGCAGGTTCTTTCGCTTTAAATGCGATACCACGAATCGTGTTATTACGGGTAAGAGATGAAGTCGACGAAGGAGATAATACCAGATTTTTGTAGAATTTTTTCAACTTCCCAGATCTTTTGTCCACAGTAGGTGGATATGACGGTTGGTTTTTTCGAGGTTTTAGAGCCCTCTATGCACTTTTACCATGTCGAACGTGTATGATCTATATGTGTCAATTATTAGGTGGGGAGAGTTCCGAAACAGATCCCGTAAGATGAAAAATAAAAATGTTAATCATTATTCAAATTCTAAAATATTTCAGGACTTAATGGATATGCTCGTACAAGTGTACGGTTCCGAATTTCCTGTTAAACTTTCAGAGCACTTTAGGCAGCTATACTTTAATAGGACATTTCCTATGTACGATTTTGGATCGGAACGAAACTTGGAGGTGTATGGGACTAAAAAACCCCCGTTATACCCCATTGAGAAGATAAAAATCCCACTTCTTCTGGTATATGGACAAAACGACAGTTTTGCTGATCCTAGAGTAAGATATTAATTTCAGTTAGTTGTTTTATTCTTTCAGAAACTTTTAGAATTTCGACTACACCTACCGTCATTTACCCACAAATCCCAAAAGTGGAAAAATGTTAGTCGACGGATTCAGTCATATGGATTTCATTTATGGTCGTCGACGAAATGAAAAATTGTATGCAAAGATTCTTAAAATACTCGACACGGTTTAAATGAAAATGTAGTTCGGGTGTCCCATACACAACACTTAGCTCAAAAATCAAACCTACTGCAATAATAAAGTACTTACTTTGACAACATCATAAAAACAATATCCATGTACAGGGTGACCGTCAAGTGGCTGTACTTCTTACCAACTTCCCCCAACAAAAACATACTTTTCGTCAAGTAGTCCGAAATAGGTAATCGTGTCAGCGTCGTAGTATGAAAAATATGTAAAATCTAAAACACCACGTCACTACCTCCAACCCAAAACCCACCAATCTTACTTGAAGCAGCAACCCATGACACTCTGTATCCTTAATAGTTCTCTCTGCAATCCTATCAAAATTCTTGTTCAGCTGTGCCGGTAAGCAATGCTCTGAAATAAGCGACACCGACGCCCTCGCTGCCAAATCCCTCGTTCTATACACCGGATTCCTAATACACACATTTATATACGGCACGTGCTCCTTCACCTACAACCCAAAAGTCACAAAAACCCACACCCATCTTTCCACAAACCTTCTCATTTATGGCCTCGTTGTGCGACGGATACAACCTAGACAAAATCAGCAGCACTGGATGCAGAATCAAGCTATCAGTCTTCTCGCACTCCTCCTCTAGTGTCTTCAGCAAAAAATCGAACAATTGTTTAAAGCGCAAGTAGAACATGGCCAAGGTCATGCGATTTTCCTCCTGTTCCGAGTCGGCCACGGTTCGATTGGGCACTCCGAACATCCTGGTGATCAAGGCCGAGAGGAGGAGGGTGGCCGAGTTGCGGATGCCCCAGGCTTTGCTGCGGAAGCCTTCGAGGGCGGCGATGGCGCCGCGGGCCACGTAGATGTTGACCCGCTCGCTTAGTTTGGAGTTTTTGAAGATGAAGCGGAGGACGTTGAGGCTGTGGATGCGGTGCTCTTCGGTTTGGACCTGCGCGGCCATGAGGAGCGGGCCGATGGTGCGGCGGACGTAGTCGGGGTTGGTGTCGGCGAGGGTGGGGATGATGCTCTGGAAGAAGTCGGGGCTTGTTTGAGTTTCGTTTGGTAACTTTTTCACAGGTTTCCTAGGTTCATTTTTCAGTTTAACAAAAACACCACGAAGACCTTGCGATTATAGTTAGAAATGAATTTTTTGTGAAACTGATCATTTTTGCGCTATTTTACAACCTATTTGAAGGTCTAGTCGCACGTATGATACACAAAACTGAAAAATCCGAAAATTGACAAATTCGAAATTGAAAAAATTCACATTGAAAACAAAAAATTATAAAATCAAAACAGTGAATAAATGCGGGAATGAGCAAAGAGGAAACGGGGGAAAAGGGGAAAAAGAGAGAAAGGGCGAAAGGGCAAAAGAGAAAGGGGGAAAAAAGAAAAAGGGAAAGGGGAAAATGGGGAAATAGGAAAAAGAGAAAAGAGAAATGGGGAAGTGGGGGAAAGCGGCAAAGGCAGAAAGTGGGGAAAAAGAAATTTTCTTGTTTCCAAACACTCAAACATTGAAGAATTGGGAAACGAGAAATCGAAAAGTCTAAAAATGGGAAATCTAAAAACTTGAAAAATAAAAAAATTGAGAAATCCAAAAACTGAAAAATCTGGCAATCGAGAAATGGGAAAATTAAAAATTCGATATATCGAAAAATCGAAATCTCAGGAATGCTTAAAATTTGAAACATCGGAAAAAATCTAAAAATAAAAAATAAAAAATCGACAAGTATAGACAGACAGATAGACGGAAACGGGAGACCACTTTTTTCGTACTCTAGAGGTCATGACACATCGAGAAAATATGAAAGTGGCAACTCGGCCGATGGACTCGATTACTATACTTCCTTAGCGTACGCTCGGGAAGTAAAAACATAAAAAAAAAAAACACGAAAAATTCATAACCGAAATATAAATAAAAAAATTGAAAAACTGAAACACTGAAAAATTGAGAAATCGAAATATTCCAAAAGAAAAATTAAAAATTCAAAAATCGAGAAATTGAAACATCAAAATATTGAAAAATAGAAAAATTGAAAAACTGAAAAATCAAGAATTCTAAAAATATAATATTTAAAATACTGAAAAATTAATATATCGAAAAACCGAAGAATGGAAGAATTGAAAAATCGATGAATTGAAACACCAAAAACTCGAACAATGAAAAATTGAGAAATACAAAAATCAAAGAACTGAAAAATCGAGAAATTGAAAAACCGAATTTTAAAAATCAAAAAATTAAAATATGGAAAAATTGCAGAATCGAGAAATTGGGAAATCGAAAAATGGAAGAATCGAAATATGTACCGAAAAATCCCAAAAATGAAATACTGAAAAATTGAAAAATCGAGAAATCGAAAATTTGAAATATCAAAAAATTGAAAATTCGAAAAATTAGAAAATCGAAAAATCGAAAAGTCCATTAACTGGGAATTCGAAAAATAGACTAATGGAAAACTGAAAAACGCCAACAATTGAAAAACCAAAAAACGGGAAATCAAAAAATCGAAAAATTCCAAAACTGAAATGCCGAAAAATTGAAAAATCGCAACATTGAAAAATCGAAATAGCCCAAATGAAAAATTAAAAACTGAAAAATTGAAAAACTTAAAATTAAAAAAAAATGTTTAAATCGAAATTTTGAAAAATTGAAAATGATCAATCGAAAAATCGAAACTTTGAAATCTCTATAAATCGAGATATTGAAAAATTGAAAAAACGGGAAATAGAAACATTAAAAAATCTGAAATCAAAAGATCCAAAATTGAAGAATTTTACGTGGTAAAAAAGAAAAATTATAAAATCAGAACTTTAAAAAACCGAAAAACTTAAAAATAGAAAAATCAAAGAACTGAAAAATCCCAAAAATCGAAAAACCGAAAAGTCCATTAATTGGGAATTCCGAAAAAAGAAAAAATTTAAAAATCGAAAAACTGAAAAATCAAAAAATCGAAAAATCTAAAATTTACAAAATCGAAAGATTGAAAAACAGAGAAATTGGAAAATTCCAAAACTGAAATGTCGAAAAATTGAAAAATCGAAATGGCCCAAATGAAAAATTAAAAGCTGAAAAATTGAAAACCTTAAAATTAAAAAAAAATACGGTTGAATCGAAATTTGAAAAATTGAAAATTCGGGAAATTAATCAATCGAAAAATCGAAACATTGAAATCCCCATATGTAAATCGAGATATTGAAAAAATTAAAACTAAAAAAAAAATTGAAAAACTGAAAAATCTCAAATCGAAATATACAAAATTGAACAATTTTACGTAGTAAAAAAAATAAAATCAGCACTTTAAAAAACCGAAAAATTTTAAAAATAAAGAGATAAAAAACCGAAATGAAAAACTGCAAACAGAAAAATGTAAAAATTCGAAAAATTAAAAAATCGAAGAACTGAAAACTCGAAAAATTGAAAAATCGAGAAATCGAAAATTTGAAAATCAAAAAATTGAAAATTGGAAAAATTAGAAAATCGAAAAGTCCATTAACTGGGAATTCGAAAAATAGACTAATGGAAAAGTGAAAAACGCCAACAATTGAAAAATCAAAAAACGGGAAATTAAAAAATCGAAAAATTCCAAAACTGAAATGCCGAAAAATTGAAAAATCGCAACATTGAAAAATAGAAATAGCCCAAATGAAAAATTAAAAACTGAAAAATTGAAAAACTTAAAATAAAAAAAAATGGTTAAATCGAAATTTTGAAAAATTGAAAATAATCAATCGAAAAATCGAAACTTTGAAATCTCTATAAATCGGGATATTGAAAAATTGAAAAAACGGGAAATAGAAACATTAAAAAATCGAAAAATTTAAAATATACGAATAATTGAAAAACAGAAAAATCTGAAATCAAAAGATCCAAAATTGAAGAATTTTACGTGGTAAAAAAGAAAAATTATAAAACCAGAACTTTAAAAAACCGAAAAATTTAAAAATAGAAAAATCAAATTACTGAAAAATCCCAAAAATCGAAAAACCGAAAAGTCAATTAATTGGGAATTCCGAAAAAAGAAAAAATTTAAAAATCGAAAAACTGAAAAATCAAAAAAACGAGAAATCAAAAAATCTAAAATTTACAAAATCGAAAGATTGAAAAACAGATAAATTGGAAAATTCCAAAACTGAAATGTCGAAAAATTGAAAAATCGAAATGGCCCAAATGAAAAATTAAAAGCTGAAAAATTGAAAACCTTAAAATTAAAAAAAAAAATACGGTTGAATCGAAATTTGAAAAATTGAAAATTCGGGAAATTAATCAACCGAAAAATCGAAACATTGAAATCCCCATATGTAAATCGAGATATTGAAAAAATTAAAACTACATATAAAAAAAAAAATGAAAAACTGGAAAATCTCAAATCGAAAGATACAAAATTGAACAATTTTACGTAATAAAAAAGAAAAATAAAATCAGCACTTTAAAAAAGCGAAAAATTTTAAAAATAAAGAAATAAAAAAACCGAAACGAAAAATTGCAAACAGAAAAATGTAAAAATTCGAAAAATTAAAAAATCGAAGAACTGAAAACTCGAAAAATTGAAGAATTGAAAAATGTACCGAAAAATCCCAAAAGTGAAATACTGAAAAATCGAGAAATCGAAAATTTGAAAATCAAAAAATTGAAAATTGGAAAAATTAGAAAATCGAAAAATCGAAAAGTCCATTAACTGGGAATTCGAAAAATAGACTAATGGAAAAGTGAAAAACGCCAACAATTGAAAAATCAAAAAACGGGAAATTAAAAAATCGAAAAATTCCAAATCTGAAATGCCGAAAAATTGAAAAATCGCAACATTGAAAAATAGAAATAGCCCAAATGAAAAATTAAAAACTGAAAAATTGAAAAACTTAAAATAAAAAAAAAATGGTTAAATCGAAATTTTGAAAAATTGAAAATGATCAATCGAAAAATCGAAACTTTGAAATCTCTATAAATCGAGATATTGAAAAATTGAAAAAACGGGAAATAGAAACATTAAAAATTCGATAAATTTAAAATATACGAATAATTGAAAAACTGGAAAATCTGAAATCAAAAAATCCAAAATTGAAGAATTTTACATGGTAAAAAAGAAAAATTATAAAATCAGAACTTCAAAAACCCGAAAAATTTAAAAATTGAAAAATCAAAGAACTGAAAAACCCCAAAAATCGAAAAACCGAAAAGTCCATTAATTGGGAATTCCGAAAAAAGAAAAAATTTAAAAATCGAAAAACTGAAAAATCAAAAAATCGAAAAATCTAAAATTTACAAAATCGAAAGATTGAAAAACAGAGAAATTGGAAAATTCCAAAACTGAAATGTCGAAAAATTGAAAAATCGAAATGGCCCAAATGAAAAATTAAAAGCTGAAAAATTGAAAACCTTAAAATTAAAAAAAAATACGGTTGAATCGAAATTTGAAAAATTGAAAATTCGGGAAATTAATCAATCGAAAAATCGAAACATTGAAATCCCCATATGTAAATCGAGATATTGAAAAAATTAAAACTAAAAAAAAAATTGAAAAACTGAAAAATCTCAAATCGAAAGATACAAAATTGAACAATTTTACGTAGTAAAAAAAATAAAATCAGCACTTTAAAAAACCGAAAAATTTTAAAAATAAAGAGATAAAAAACCGAAATGAAAAACTGCAAACAGAAAAATGTAAAAATTCGAAAAATTAAAAAATCGAAGAACTGAAAACTCGAAAAATTGAAGAATTGAAAAATGTACCGAAAAATCCCAAAAGTGAAACACTGAAAAATTGAAAAATCGAGAAATCGAAAATTTGAAATATCAAAGAATTGAAGATTCGAAAAATTAGAAAATCGAAAAATCGAAAAGTCCATTAACTGGGAATTCGAAAAATAGACTAATCGAAAACTGAAGAACGCCAACAATTGAAAAATCAAAAAACGGGAAATCAAAAAATCGAAAAATTCCAAAACTGAAATGCCGAAAAATTGAAAAATTGCAACATTGAAAAATCGAAATAGCCCAAATGAAAAATTAAAAACTGAAAAATTAAAAAC